TTTTTTTTGGAAAAAATATAATATAAATTTTTAAAATACAATTTTAACCTCATCGATCCTATCATATCTATTTTATCTCTCCTTATCCCACGATCATGCTATTTTATCTCTCCTTTATTGTAATTTTATATATAAAAAGTGCTTTTTTTTATTTTAACATCTAAACAAATTTTTTACGTAAAAGTGATTTTCAGATCATACATCCAAACGTAAAATAACTTTACCTTTTAAAAAAAGCTTTTTTAAACAAAGCAATGCATAAAAAGTCATTTTTTAAAAGCTCATCCAAACGGACTCATATTCAAATTTTGTTGCTAAACCAAAAGTCACAATTTCAATGTCCAAATAGAATCATGAATCACAACAAAACTCATCACCATCTGCATTTGAGTCACTTTCAAAGGCAAAATGCTCAAATTAAATAACATATATTTCATCAGATCCAACAAACAAATCCATATTATGTAAATTAAAATAACTACATGAATCCAACAAATACATCATTATGCTTGTAGTAAGTATAACATTTCTCAAAAACTTTTTAATATATTCATATATACAATCTAACATGTTGAGATGTTGGTTTCTCCTACATAAGAAATAAAGTCAGATTTCTATTAAAATATAATCGAATATAATTAAGTTATAAACAATTCAATTGATTGAATTTATATATTTTGTTTTTCTTCAAGGAATGCTTATTCTATTTTATTTTATTTAAAATAAAAAGTACAATATAGGCTAGTCTGTATGCTTATAGGTCAGGTCTTGTTAAAGTGGGTCTATGACCTATTTATTAAACAAGTTTTTTCAAAGTCCAAGTTCGACTTATTTTACGAAATATACTAGGCCAGATCTGGCCTGACGTAGGCCGAGGCGTAGGCCCATATAGGCCGGTCCGGCCCAGTTTCACCTCTAAAGGGGTTGTTTGAATATTGTTTTTGAAAGTAGTTTTTTGATTTTCAGAATAAAAAATAAAAATAAAAATTTGATAAGATATATTATGTAAAAATAGTTTTAATAATTATAATTATTTTTTTATTTTTAGAATTAAATTTAGAGAACAAATCTAAGTTATTTTTGTTTTATGTTTTGATTTTTAAGTTCCAAAGCAAAGAAAATACAGAAAACATATATTTCATTAACTATTCTATAAAACAGTTTTAAGAATAAAAAACACATAACACAATCAAACAAACTCTAATATTTTACATTTTTTATAAGGTAGGAATTTGGCTTTAAAAAATATTATTTTAATTTTTTTGGAATTTTACTTTTTTTACAAAAAAAGAATTCAAATATAAAAATAAAATGAAAATATTTTTATTTTTATTTTATTTCTAAAATACAACTTCTTTGAAAAGAAAAAAATCCATCCAAATCAACTCTAAATCTTACCACAATTGTAAATTAAAATTTAGCAGTACTATAGCACAGAGTGAGTCAATGACAATCCTACAAAAAGGTAGATTTTATATTAGCAACCCGAGATTTACTGGCTTGTAACTTATAATAATTGAAATTAATATAAGTAAAATAATTTTTAAAATAACTGGAGATAATATTCAATCGAAAAAGATTAGCTCAGGAATCAATCTTCATCGATAAACGTAAACAGGATAAATTTACCCAAAAAAAAAATGTAAATAGGATAAGAAATCCACTTAACATAATTTGTTTTTTTTTTTTTTAATAAATCACATGTATCTCTTATAAGAGAAAATTTTATTCGGGACGGGTGCAAGATTAAGGCTTTAAACTTCTTCTAATACGGGAAATGATCAAACATATACTCTCGATTTTAACTGCTCAGCTCACATGCATTAACTGAAGTATCTTTATTTAATCATAATTTGTTTTGAATCGTAGTAAAATCTAATAATCATAAGTAGCCAAACTCTCACTAGTGGTACTCCAATCTTTTCTTAATTATTTTTTGTTAGATACAAAATCTCTCCCACAATTTACTCTTCATTCACACTAAACGGTTAGATGTCCTTTTTTTTTTTTTTTTTTGAATGAAACAGTTACATGTCTTTGTTATAACTTAATGAATAATGAATTAATGGTTGCTCTAAGCAATGAATGTACAATGGTCTTTTCAATAAAGTCAAAAAACGACACTAACTTGTATTTGATTTTGTCCAAATTTTTTTATTTTTTATTTTTTTATCAAATCTTTAGTTAATTACTCCAAATCTGCTACGACAAACCTAAGATAATTGAAGTAACCATTAACTCATGAAAATAGATATTTTTAAAAGTTATATATGAATAGAAAAGAATAAATAGTTTATTGGTCCCTTAGGAGCTTGTTTAACACTTTTTCTTTTAAGTTAAAAATTACTGTAAAGTTAAAAAAAAAATTAGCAGTTGTTTGATGATTATATAAATCTGTTTTGATAATTTTGAAAGAGTGAACATGAAATAATTTATTATTAGGATAAATTATTTAGGATAGAGAAGAAAATTTATAAATATAAATTTAGAATAAAAATAAAATTATAAAATAAATGTGAAAACTTTGAAAAGCTGACATATTCTAAAAAAACCCTCCTCAATTGAGTTTTTAGCTTTTATTTTATTTTTTCATTATAAAAAAATTCTTTTTATAATACTTTTTTTTTGTAAAATTATGTTTGGTTAAGGAAAAAAATACGATAAATTCAGCACAAAATAAATTTTATTTTATTTTATTTTTGCCACTGATCAACTGTCCTTGGCCCAACGGTGGTGTATCGATCAGGGAAGCTGATTTGAATGGTGGGTTTTGACGGTGGACATGGTAATTTCAAGTAGCTATTTGTGGCTGTATAGTGGGGAGGTCAAATCAGAGGAGGTGGGTTGGTAAGATGTGTAGCTGCATGCTTTAATTAATTGATGTGCTAAATGTTTTGGGAGGAAGATGGCTCAGTTACGACCTGTGGTGGTGGACTGGTGGTTACTACTAGTGCTAGGTACTGTGCCTATCGTGAGCGTTGGCAGCTACGTGCAGGGGGTTGAATTTCATTGTCCAAGTTTGGTTCTAAGATGTTAGATGCAGAGGTTGGGTTGATGGGGTACCCAGCTTTGTGGATGGCTAAGAGGGATGTATAGTGGATTTACTGAAAAATAATAACCTGATTTGATATCTGGTTGAAGGAGCAAGCACTAGGTTATGTTTCTATGGTTAGGTGTGTTGAGGAAAAGTTTATTTAGTAGTCCGCTATTACTGAAGATTCAAGGCAATATCACTTACTGAATAAATAATAAAACCACTTAATTATATTTGTTTTATGGATTTGTTGTTTGTCTTTTTAAAATACATAGAATATACAATAAAAAGGGATATTGATTGTACTGTTGTCTTTAATCATAAAATATATCTGAATTCCATGAATTCCATATAATTTTTCAAACTATCACAACATTGGAGTCGCTGAGGAATGTAGCAACTACAAACAAACACGTGGCGCGTTTTCAGTGGCTTGAAAAGCCTAAGAAGTCTGATTGGATCAAAGTCGCTATATGGTATAGCTGAGTAATGTAGCGACTTAGGCCATATAAAAAAAATTATTGTTCCGTTCACCAAAGTCGCTACATAAGCAAGCAACTTTGGCCTACTAATCTGCCCTCTCAGCTAGGGTGAAAGTGGGCTGGGTTGGGCCAAGCTTTGCCCCGAAAAGGCCAAGCCTACGCCAAAAAAAATTAATTTGGCCTGGCCCAAGCCTAGTACGAGTCTAACTATTAGCCTGCCTTGGCCCGTTTATAAAAAAACAAATGATCTGCCCTAGTCCGTTGGCCTGTTAATTTTTAACTTCCAAGCAGAACCATGAATCAACTTTACAAAATATTTAAATTATGTTGCTAAACCAAAAATCATAATTTCAATGTACAAACAGAATCATGAATCGCAACAAAACTCATACAATCTGCATTTAAGTCACTTTCAAAAGCAAAATGCTCAAACTAAATAACATATATTTCATCATATCCAACAAACAAATCCATACTATGTAAATTAAAATAACTACATGAATCCAACAAACACATCATGATGTTTGTAGTAAGTATAACCTCTCCCAAAAATATTTTAATATATTCATATACACAATATAACATGCTGAGATGTTGATATCTCCTATATAAGAAATAAATTCATATTTCTATTAAAATATAATCGAATAAGTTATAAATAATTGTAATAGATTAAATTTATAACTTTTCTTTTTTCTTTAAGGCATGCTTATTTTATTTAAAATAAATAGTATAATATAGGCCGACCTGTAGGCTTATAGGCCAGGCCTTGTGAAAGTGGGCCTACGGTCTTTTTATTAAACAAGCTTTTTCAAGGCCCAAGCCCGGTCTATTTTACGAAATATACTAGGTCAGGACTGGCCTGACATAGGCCTAGTCGTAGGCCTCTGTAAGTCGGTCCGGCCTAGTTTCACCCATACTCCCAGCCATGGCAGGCCTAAGGTTGCAGGTGCATCAGGAAATGGGTCAAAGTCGCTACAATATGTAGCTACTTTGGTCCTATGGTTATAATATAAAGCCACTTGCATACCTACCAAAAATTTTCAGTGTTCTCGGTGTTATTTTCATTTGTGATCAGAAAGTTTTCTATTTCTGGTATTATCTTCATTTGTAGTGGTTACATACTAAAATTTTAACTTCTTTCGTGTTATTCCTTTTTCGTCTGGTTTCATATTAGAATTTTTTATTTCTCCCATGTTATATTTCCTTCTACATCCTAAAATTTTCAGTTCTTTCATATTACTTTCCTTTCTTGTTTGGGTATATATTTGAATTTTTCTCCATGTTATGTTCATATCTCTGTTAATTTTTCTCTTAAATATTTGTTTGAAATTTTTCAAAATGAGTGATGAAAATGATTCAATAATTGCTATTGTATATTATAATGGAATGAGATATTTTGGTCCTACTGGTCAAATTTTTGAAGGAGACACAAAAATGTTTGGCATGAGCTGTCGATGAAGTTTTCATGATCTGAAGAAAAATAATATACAAGAAGTTGATATTACAACAAGCCAATCTCTATCTCGGTTGACTGCGAGATGTGCCTCTGGTAAAGAGAGTTGGGTTTCTGTGAAGATTGTTGAGGATGAAGATGTCGCACTAGTAGTAGATGCATTTCAAAATGATCGAGACTCGACATTTATTGAACTGTATGCGAAAGTCGAATAGGGTGGACAGTCTAGTAGTCAACATTCTCTCCTTTTCATTCACTCAATCAACATTAACAGAGAACCGTTGGTGAATTTTGAAGATAGGTATGTGTCACCCCCATCACCCCCACTACCACCAATGTCATTTGAAATGCTTCCTACCCAAGATGAGTATGTTACGACGTGTCATATAGACAGCTCCAACGAAGAGGTGGATGAAGGTTTAGTTCCACATATTGACTCATTCGACACCGACGTCGAGGGCGACTTTGATTCATGTCCGTCTACTGCGATATGTCATTCGATGTGCAATAATAAATAAGCGAACAAATGGCCACCCACCTGCGTTTTTGATCAGCGGTCAGCCGATAAGCAGTAAAGTCCGCATACGGCCTCCAAACAATGTATCTATTGTGCATCACATCAAGGCGATATCGATATCTGACAAGGTTCACGAATCGAAAATTTCTCTAGGTAAGCACATTAAATATGCAAAATAAACCATTAGTATGAGTAAGACATATAAAGACAAAATTTATGAATGTAATCAGTATACCATACATGTGCCTGTATATGGCATCTAAGTCTACCACGTCGGGAGAGGAGGAGAGATCCTCCGCAATCGGGTCCATGCCCACAACTGCACTGACAATACACATCCACCCATAGAAGTGTGAGATATGCCTGTCAATCTAGACAACTCGCGATAAAGGTGCGCTAATACTATAGAACCCCAACTAAAGTTACCCGTCCGCTGAAAATCATCCAAGAATAGTAAAAATCTAGCAGGAACAAAGCTGGAAGCAGCGTCGACGAACAACACGCCACCCAAGATGTGCATAATCAACTAGCGTGTGTATATAATCCGTTGTGGCTCAGTCTCAGCAAAATCTGCATAGTCATTGATTTTCTCGCACAAAAAACCTAGGTTCAACCAACCTCCTTTCAGCTCTCGATCTGTAGATGGCTCAATTCCCAAATATTGATTAATCATCTGGCGCCAATTTTACTTACCACTACGACCGGAGACAACTTCACTATCCATGGGCAAACCCAACTGATGGTGTACGTCCTCTAAGGTGATTGTCATCTCACCCTACGGTAAGTGAAACATATGTCTCAGGCCGCCAACGCTCGATAAGGGCTGCAATAAGCGAATTGTCGATCTGAACTAATAAGACATATGATGTTATCAAATTATTACAGTTAAACCCTATGAACTTTAACAACCGATAAGTGTACACTGACCTCGTGGTTATGCAGCCGCACAACCTCATAGAAGCCAGTCTGTCTCAATTATGGCACGATTTGCTCAAGTATATTATGGGGATCATGTATGCATGCATGTCTAACATTCTTTTTACGACGCTCCACGTCATTCCACATATATGTGGATATGTGTTTCTCCTGCAATGTCAGAAGAGAGCAGTCAACAGGTCCCAAAAAAGTATGGCAACAAGGAGATCTCGAAGAGCCAAGAGGTGTGGGGTCATTACCGCTCGAGGCGGTGAACCAGTCGAAAACTACATCAATCTATTGAAAAAAATAATTAAACATTAATAATACTATTTATAAATTATTTTACATAAAATATATCAACTATCTTAAATTAGAATTAAATAAAATATATACAACATATTTATGATTTTAATTTAAAATATAAAATTATAATATTAAGTATCCTATAATTTACCTAAACTAATTCATATAAGAAAAATAATACATATCAACTAACATATGGTTTAATCCTACACTAAGAGAAAAAAATAAAATATTAAAATATCATTTATCCTACTATTTCAAGTCCGAAATAAATTAGAATTAAATAAAATATATACAACACTAATATTCAATAAAATATTAAAATTCCATTTATCATTTTAATTTCAAATATTAAATATAATATTAAGTATGCATTTTGATCTATAGCACATTTTGTCATACTACTCTAACAACCTTCCAAATTTTGTATAACTATTTCTATAATTCCATTTTGTCAAACAGAATATATGCATTTCTTATTTTTGTATATATATTTCTATTCCACATTTTGTCAAACACAAGATATGCATTTCCTATTTTTGTATAACTATTTCTATTGTACATTTTGTCAGAAACACAAGACATGCATTTCCCATTTTTGTATAACTATTTCTATGGGACATTTTATCAAACACAAGACATGCAGTTCCTATTTTTGTATAACTATTTCTATTGGACATTCTATCAAACACAAGAAATGCATGAAAGAGATTCAACCAAGGCTAATCCAAATCCAGCTTTCAACAACATAATCAGCCAAGGATAGAGCATAACAACCTCCAACATGCATTTGGATTATAATTAACACATATCTAACTATTCCTTTATGTCCGAATAAAATTAAAGAATGAAAGGATTTTTTGGGACTCACAGTTCGGGTATATGGAAGGCCTCTGTGAGCTTCAACTTAGACAACTACTTCGGTTAAGTGGGTTGGTTGAAGATGGTAAATGTGAGATGCTTGCCTTCGGTTGCGGTGGAGGAAGGAGACCAAGATAGCCTGAGTATTTGAGTTGGGGAAGACACTTAAGTCGCTTGCTTTTGTAGCGACTATAGCTACTTTCTACAATTTTTCTGCACCGTCTGCACACTCGCCAGCATGCGTCTGTGTAGAGAGGTAGCTAGTGGCCAATTGGTCCAGTGACAAATACAAAGTTTTCTAGATTGTTTAAGTGGCTACATTACTCAACGACTCTGACCAAATAGCTGACATGTGTTACATGCATACCAAAGTCGTTACACTATATAGCGACTTTGGTCCACTCAGGCTTCCTAGACTTTTCAAGTCACTGAAAATACGTCACATGTTCGTTCATAGTCGCTACATTACTCAACGACTTTAGTGTCATGACAGTTTGAAAAAATATTTGAGATTCGTGGCATTTAGGTATATTTTATGATTAAAGATGGCAGTACGGTCAATGTCTTCAATAAAAATTATGGGAGGAGAAAATGAGTATTTTTTTAATTTAATTTTAAATAAAAAATACTAATTTTAACTAAAATAATCATCATTTAAAAGGACAAATATTTTTTTCTTATTTTATACATTCTTTTATAGTTTATTTATTGTATTAATCTCACTTATTTTTTCTTTTTATCCGTCTCCAAAGTCTTTATCAGGGTTCGAACCCTTACTTTTTGATAATTCCTCTTGAAAATTATATTTACACCTGAGTTAATCCATGAATTATTAGCTAATGACAAGTGAATAAACAAATTTATTGGTGTAATTGTTATTGGAATAGTTTTTTTTTTTGATAACATATTGGAATAGTTTTAAAGGCAACACATTCACACATGGGCCAAAAATTAAGAGCCCTCTCTGTGCACACTATCTCCTAAATTAAATAGATTCCAAGAGCCGTAACTCAAGTGGGTATTATATTTCTTAAAGAACGTTTGATCTCAAAATCACTTTGCTTGCACTCTCAATAGTAAAATTGGACACTTCATTAGTTTCTCACAATTTTGCCATGGTATTTTTTTTATTTTTGTTTTTGGTAAAATAAGGTTAAGGAAGAAATGTAATTATCTAATTTTGAGATTAGAGTATGTTCGGAAGAAAAGCACATGTATAGAATATACAAAAACAAATAAGAAAAGAAGATATATATAAAGACACGAAATTTTCAACGTTAAACCCTCCTTAAATATGAGAAGTAAAAATCAGAGGAAAAGAGTTTGAAGAAAAATATCCACTATGAAAATGGGATTACAAATGGTATTGCTCTATGGTCTAAAACTCAAAGGGTCACTCTCAATTCCTCACCTAATAAAATGATGGGTTACAAATACTCTCTACAAGAGAATCTCTCTCTTAATTACTTGAGAATTTGTCTTGCTTGGTGTTTCAAACCTTCTCTTACTCAGTTCCTTCGATGGCTAAGAGGACTTTCTTCAAGGCTTTAGATTCCTCTCTATTTAGTGAGGATTTCAATTTTCAATGCAACCTTACATTTTTACAATGAACTCTTTTCTTCTTCCTATGTATAGAGACTTGAAAAGTCATTAATCTTTAATTGTCTAATGATATATCTAATTAAGAAGAAATAAATCTTGCAAATCTCCCCCTTTTTGACCTAATTAGAGTGGGTTACCACATTGGTTTCTTCACGGCAATCTTCAAGATTCTTTGTCAGAACAACCTTGATCATCATGTTAGAGTAGTTCAAGTAAGTGTGGACTTTTTCAACCTGTAAATGCTTCTCCTCTATCACATCTCAGAGCTAACGGTAATGAATATCAATATGTTTTGAGCGAGAACAATTGGATGAATTTTTTGCCAAGTGCATTTCACTTTAATTGTCACATTTCAAAATTACTTTTTTTCCTTATGACCTAAACCTAGCAAGAAGTTTTTCATCCTCGATATTTTTTACATGCTTCTGTTGCTGCAATGTACTCAGTCTAGGTGGTAAACATGAAAACAGTATTCATAGCTTAGACTACCAATGTGTAGCTCCTCCAGCAAAACTAGTTGTCACATTTCACTTTAAGTATTGCGACGTTGATTTTCTTTGGTTTGTATCAACACCTAAGTCGGCATCTGAGTATGCTCCAAACTTGGATTTTTTTTTCCTAAAACACAAACACTTTTTAACTGTACCTCGAAGATATTTAAGTACCCATTTAACAACGACTCAATATTCCTTTCCAGGTTTTGATAGAAATCGACTTACAAGACTGACATTGCTTGTCGGACCTAGTTCAAATCATTGTATACATGGGGCTACCAACTTCTGATGAATATGACACTTTCATCATATCTTCTTTCTCTTCACCACTTGTTGAACTTTGCTTATTACTTAATTTGAAATATGCAGCAAGTGGGGTGTTAATTGGCTTGGCCTTGTGCTTATTAGATGATAAACTCATAGTTTATCATATTTTATTGGGCTAAAAACACATTAATTAACTCTCAAATCTAGCTTAAAGCATAAAAACTTAAGAGTTAATTTGTAAAAAGGCTTTAAACGTATTCCTATGACATATCTGATTAAGTTTTGCTATTTTTGTACGATGATTGAGTTGAATTGGAGGAAAGATTAATCTAGAAGGAATTAGAGCGAGCACAAAAAGAGCAAAAAGTCTTTGCCAGAGCGCCCTAAAAGCGCGCTCAAGTGCGTTACTTGACACTATAAAGAGTACAAAGTTCCTACCTGAGCATGCTAAAGCACGTTCCAACACTTTTTATTGTGCCCCAATACGTATTCAGCTGTTGGAAGAGGGCTAGGTGAACTAGGAAGAGTGCTTCACCAACTATCGCACTAGGTGAGCTTTATTACAAGGCATCTTCTTTTGGATCGCGAATTTTAGCTTAGTCCATAGTTCATGAGCATTGGTATATGTTAACACATGCTCAAACAAGCTTTTATCGATGTATTTATGAATCATTGTGGTCGTTTTACAATTCAAGGGTTTTATTCTTTATCGCTCTCTCCTTCTGACTTCTCTGTGTCGACTCATATAGATCCTTGCAGTAAAGATGATCATCATGAATTTTTAGTTGGAGTAATTCTCTCTAGTGAATTTGAACACGTCACCATCTTGACTAATGGTAGCCTCCATCTTAATTCTCACAATGCCTTTGATCTAAGAGGTTTGATATCATTGTTGTAGAAAAGCACGCATATAGAATATGTGATAGCAAAAAAGAAAATAAAGAAGAGAAGATATAGAGACATGTGGAACACTACCTCAATGTGAGACTAGATGTCCAAGAAAAATGTCTACTATGAAAATGAGATTATCAAGGGTATTTCTCTCTGGTATAAAACTAAGAGATTTACTCTCATTTCCTCACACAATAGAATGATGAATTACAAATCGTCTCTCTTTAAGAGAATCTCTCTTTCAATTGCTTGGTGTTTCGAACATTTTCTTCCTTCGACTTTTTTTTATGCTCTAGATTCTTCTCCATTTAATCAGAATTCCAATGCAACCTTTTATTTGTTTTTCTCCAGGAAGTCTTTTCTTCTTCCCATGCATGGAGACTTGAAAAGTCATTAACCTTTAATTGTGCAATAATACATTTAATTAAAGAGAAATAACTCTATCAGTATGATACTGAGTATCATCAATATGTATTTATAGTGATGCTAATAAAATTTGCAGCCAACAGAAAATTACTGGTATGTGACTGTAAGTCAAACCTAAGCCTTACAAAGTGCAATGCTACGATCCTTTGTCCTTTGAAAAATCTAAGATAGCCCACATGCATTGTGTCAGATGCAATATTTAAAAAATGGGACTTAACTATTATATTGTTCAGTTCGGCCCTGGTCGAATCATCAAATTAATCGTTTAAGGACCATAACTCTTGTTAGTTCGATCTCACGTTCAAATTTCAAAATCTCACATTCATTGATTAGATGCAGCAAATTTTCGGAGATCCTTTATTCCAGATTTGCCAAATCATCTGAAGTTGTTAATAAATTTATTTGTATCTTCGAATTTTTTCTCTCCTTGAAAAACAAACTCATTCCTGCTAACAATAAAAGACTATTCTTCTAATAAAAAAGAAAAAATAAAAGACCATTCTTAATTCTCTTAAAAGAATTTCCCATTCCTAAGTAACATTGGAAACGATACTGTCGATTTATGAGCAAAATATATTAATCATTTTCCCCGTGGAATGGATTTAAGAATGAAAAATCACCATAAATCTAAGTGAATTAAAGTTTTCCTGCTCAAATCAAAATTCAAACCCACCATTGATAAAGAACCAACCGGACTACGATCGATACAGTTCTGATAATTGCACCACTGAACTATATAGGTAAACCTTTATAAGTTCCTTTGTGGCAAATGATACTTCTGTACTGGACATTCTTTTATAAATTGGATCATTCTTCTAATTTATCACTGTCCAACTATTACAATCAAAGTAGTTAGGACATTGAACAATTAAGATATCATGAAAGCATTATTTGACTAAGGAAGATGAAGGAAATATTCCGTGGTATAAACCTCACAAAATTGAACATCTAAAATCAAGCCAAGAGACAATGTCATCATGTACAGCAAATATTCTGTCATCAGGTTCCCCTTCCAAAATGCAGTGGTAACCACCTTCATAGATCTTTAGGGTCTTATCCTTGCTAGATGCTTTTTCATAAAGAAATTGGCTCACTAATGGATCTGTCACCTTATCTGCTGCTCCATGCAGAATCAATAATGGCGCTGAAACCTGCAATCACTCACTCCACCCACAAAAGATTATTTAATGTTTTTTTGTTGATATGACAATGATTGCATGCAAAAAAAGAGAGAGAAATAACCCTAGCATAAATCCAAATTACATTCTGGAAAATAACAAACAACAAAAAGAAAGTAAAAAAAAAAAAGGAAAATGAGAAAGAGAGAAAAAGAAAAAACCAACCTCCTGTACTCGTGACTCTATTTCTTTAGTGGTCCTTAAAAGTTCCATGCCAGTTTTCAATCGTGGTTGATCATCATAACAAATCACATTGTAAACAGCCTAAAAAGAAAAACACTTGGAATAAAAATGTTTGTCTGCAGAATAATTAAATAACATTTTAATTTTTGGTTTATTTCGATTCCATTCAATAGAACACCCGAAGAAAGAAGTGGGATTGGGGGGTAGGTGGGTTAGGGTGGTGGTGGAGACAGTGACAACATATGCAAATTCCATTATTAATTTCCATAGCATGGCTAATCATTAATAGATGTTGCAAGGCATGGTTGAGAAAAGTATCAAGTAGGGATACACTGACAAATTACGTATCTAAGATTTCGGACAAAATAGCTATCTACACTGTTCATTTTTTATGCAAGAAATCAAATGAAAATATTAAACATAAATGTGCAACAAACTTGATGGTAGAAGCTACTATGTTTTAGTTCATGTTGGAGTTCATCGATACTTGTAGACAGTCAAATAAGGTGCGTGACTGGAAAGAAGTAGAAGTTTCCTATCATATGGAAATGAACAGAAGAGGATTATATATATGGTTTGTTCCTTGAATCATGAAACATAAGGTATCAAGTTAAGTTGGTGATCCTAATGCATATGAATAAACATACACGCTCAAGGAATCCCCAACTACTAACAGCATAACTGGCTAATATGTGGCCATTCCACCATGTAGATAATATGGATCTGTTAGCAAGTGAAGCATAAATGAAGAGCATGGCTTTAAATTAGGGCCTGCATTTTACATGGTATCAAAGCTTCAGTGACCACAAGGGCACGAGTTCAATCCTTACCGCCTCACACTTTCTAGTGGAATCAAATAAAAAAACACAAGGTAAATCAAAAATTGAACCTGTGTAATATTCGCGCTTCAAGTTCAAAGGACTCTTGCGTGAGGGGTTGTGTTAGAAAATAATATAAACTATTAAAAAAGGCCCTCACCCAACAGCTTAAGCTTTTGGGTTGAAATGGTTCTTTACAATTTCAGTAAATGCGATTATGACCATCATCACAACTGCAATTTAAAACCATGGTGACGAGTGACAACATTCTAAACAATTATGTAATGCAAGACATTTTGTTAAAAGAAGTATGTTATGGATGAGCAATGGTTATTAATTTCATTCTATAAGCATCCAAGAATTAATGTTTGCAGAGTTACCAACCAATTTTCTTTTGCTTGGTTCTCTGAAGGCCAGCTCAGCTAGATCTTGCTGTGGGAAGAGTTTTGCTTTTGGCATCACTTTAGACAGAAGAGTTAATACCTTCAAAACTGCATCTGATGGTAACACGTCATCTGCAATCTTACCAGTAACACAACATCAGCAAATCATGCCTCATCTGATAGTTAAACTAATACAGCCCCAATTTATGAAAACTAATTCCAAATGGAATACCATTTCTCATTCAACTTAAAATAATTTATTTTATGAACATATCACATTACCATGACATTTATTGATTGCAGCTCTTTTATATTGTTAGTAAGAAGAATTGCTTTATATGGATTAACAAGCCATGCCTGTTTGAAGTGGCATAAATGGTACTAAAGGAATGTCCAAAAACACCAAAAAAGTCCAAAGGGCTTTGATAGTTTAATCCTCAAAATAATCCCCAACTTCAAGATGGGTATCCCAAACATTACATGGCTGTGCCCGGTAGATGTTGAAATCAGATCATTCTTAATGCATCCTTTCCATTTCCATTTTAATCAAGACAACTCAAAGTAAGTCGCATGATGACCCTGAATAAAGGAATCAGTCAAATATGGCCAATCATTACCAGTTAGGGCTAAAAGACTTGGTCTACGAAAACCTCCCATATTATTGATAACTATAACAATAAATGTAAGGATCCAACATAGTTGACCTCTTTCTTTCTTGTTTGTGCTTTCTAAGGAATAAGGTAGCATCCAACAAGGTTTAATACCCTCCCAGATTACAGTGCTGAAGGAATTCCCTATGCACCACTTCTCACATGATGGATAGTTCCACATTCTTAAAGATTAGTCTGGGTCTCTTAGACTCTTACCATGCGGTTTTGGATGAAGTCCACTATAGACATTTATAAGGTGTATATTGATTCTTCCAATTCATTGAAAATGTTAGATACCATTTCTTTCTACTTTTCCTAGAGAGTTCAGCCTCCTGCAAATCACTGATTTTCTTATATCACAATTAAGTTTACATCATGCATGACTGGTTTCTAGTTCAATTGTTATTTCATTACAGCAGGCAAAAGCTTTCTGTCACAGAATGTTTATCCTCTAACTAATTCCCAGTAAGACTCTTCAATCTAGTCATAAAATCAAGCAAAATCCAGAAAAGCAGGAGATTTTCCCAAAATTGATGCTGTGATTTTTCTTTATTATTTGTATAAATTTATGCCATAAATTTCAAATATATACTCAATAAGAACATCCAATAAAATAAGTGCAAGCTGGTAAAACTACACAATTGAGTCAAAAATGAAGTAATAACAATAAATACCAAATTTGGATTTCAAACAACATAAGGATTAGGAAAATAGACTCTCAAATAAGGTCCACTCATGAGTGGATACTAAACTTCTATGAAAGATTGCATTTTTTTTTTGTATTTCACCAGAGACATTGCGGATAGCATTATGGTTTAGTAGTCCCTCAAAGAATATGATTGGAGAGAGACATTACAGTTTTGAAATTAATTGTGGTTTTCGTTTTTTCCTTGCCAATGCAAGCAAACAGAGCTCAAGTTGTATCAATATTTAATATAGTAAAACCAATATACACTTTGAGGGTAGACTTCCTTTATAACTAGTAACAATTCAGTTATCATAGAGTTTGAGCTGAATCAGGACGTTGAAAATTACGATAATGAAATTGAGGAACATCAATTGCAATACAGAGGAATGAGCTTACTTTACACATAGGTGCTACAAGTATCACTCCATCCCAATTATGTGGCTCCTTCAAATGAACTTTAAGAGTAACTGCTCCACCCATTGATTGCCCCAATATAAATCGAGGTAACTCTCTCAGATCAGGCCTTGCTGTCAATTGGAATTCAAAGCATAATCAACCACACTAAGTGTTTTCAGATGAAAAATATTGCAATAATGAACAATAAGACACCATGGATACTGAAAAGTGAAAAAACACACCTTTAACTTTTGTATAATGCTCTATAACATCATCAACTAGATAATCAAAGTTTGGTATATAACCATGTAATCCTTCTGAAAGACCAAAACCTGGATAGTCCATAGAAAAAACGCCATACCCAGATGCAGCAATTCTCCTGGCTATACCTGAATAAAAATTTGAATCCACCCCAAATAATACACGATGAATCTCTAGCTTACTTAGAAACATACAGCACAACATATACTTCTCAGAGCAACTTCTTGTAATGACAAAATGACAAACCTTCAAAGAAGAAGGTGCAAGTATCACCATATCCATGACAGAAACAAACGGAAGCCTTGATTGGAATGCCAGGCTTTGGCATCCAGCTTTTGCAGAAAATTTCCAATCCCCTCGAGTTCCTTTCATACCACTACTTAACTACAAAGTTAATAACTTTTTCCAACAAGGTAACAAACTAATCATAGGAAAAAACCTCACAACATCATCAACATACTCCTATAATTTTTGAAAATAATCAGGTAAAGCAGAAAATCTTACTTCTTCAGTTCTGATCCCAGCAGGAGCATTCTAGCACGAGAGATTGAAACATCAGTCAGTCACTGATTCTTGAACAAAGCCCAAGACACATACAGCAAAGGAAAATCAAAGTAAAAAAATAAAATAAAAAATAAAACTCCAAATATTGAAACTACAGCAATTGAAGTCTTCCATTAATCATGATACTACACTGACCTTGAACAAGCAATGATCCAGCTGCTGCTGCACCTCAGCGAAAGCTGCACGGACCGTTCTTCGAGAGTAAGCAAAGTCAAGGTTATAAGAAGCTATGGCGTTCAACTCCTCGCTCACACCTTCAATGGGTGTCTTTCTCTTTGCTGTAACTGTGAGTGTAGTGGTCTTGGGTTTGGTTTTGAACTTGGTTGAAGAGGGTAGTTGATGCTTGAAAGGGTGCTTGATGGGAGAAAAGGGTATGTGTGGAAAGGGTGAGAGGTTCTGTGATCGGAATCCAAATGCCACAGATAGCTCCATGTTGGGATGTGTGCGATCACACATAAACCACTATCCCATTAAAGGGTGTGTGTTTGTTTTTCCTTGTGATTGAAGTTGCGGGATCTTAATCCCAATACAGCTTAAGTACCCAATATTCGTAGATCACAGTCCATATACATATTGACTGTGCAAAGACACATACGTTCACTTTTCTCACGAGACCTGGGGTCGGTGGACCATGTCTGCTGCACGTGTCTAACGTGCGCCTCCCCAATCATCAATGTTAAGTAAATTTTTTTTCTTTTGCTGGAATCATAGTCAATGTCATGCGTGTTCATATTTTGGATTGGGATGCGTTTACTATGATCAGGCCATTTTTCTATGGGGTGTAAATTTGGACTTTTGATCAATGGGTTTTTTTCATTTTTAATGTATCAATTTGTTATTTAATTTTTGGTATTTATCAATGAGTCATTTAGTGCAGTGGGGGCTCAGCCGTACTGAGTGCTACAATCTCTTTCTTGCGGCACTTACATATTTTTTTCTTCTTCAAGGTGAGTGATGCGACCCACCCCTTTAGCACTTATATGATTATGACAAGTGGCACAATTTTGTTAGTTCTGTTATCGTAAAATTTCGAAAAGTCATAACTTTTGATTCGGGTATACAAATCAGATGATTTTTTTTATTTTACATAATTTATCTAGATCTACGCAATGACATCTCATTTGAAATATTTTATCTCACGCAAACATAATTCAAATTTTAACATGGTACCACAAACATAGCTTCAGAGACATCAAGCATGGCCAATATGTTATCGTCTATCCTGCTTTGTTCCTTCTTTCCTTATTAATAGGGTTCTCCATTTTTGCTCCCACTTTTTCTTCGTTTTCTTTTCTTCATAAAAATAAATTTTGAAATTAATTATCGTCTCGCACAGGTTCTACTGCAACTCTAACAGACAGAAATTCAATTAATTAAAATCTCAACAAAACTGATTTGAAAATCGAGGAAACCAAACAAATCAAGGGTTTCTACCTCTTGCCGCCAAAATTTGAATTTAAAAGCTTTTGTGATTGTGGAATAATTGTTGCAAATTTGAATTATGTTTATGGAAGATAAAATATAACAACTGAGGTGTCATTGCGTAGATCTCGAAAAGTTATGTAAAAAAAAAAAAAAATCATCTGATTTGGATAACCGAGTCAAAAGTTATAAATTTATGAAATTTTACGCTAGCGGGACTAATGAGATTGTGCAACATGACATAATCGTGTGAGTGCCAGAAGGGACACTCACATAAAGAAAAGGAAAAAAAAAAACGTGTGAGTGTCACGGGGTAGAGGTCGCGGCACTTAGTGCCGTTGGGCCCCTCCCACAACACTAAAGACCTCCATTGATAAATATCGAAAATCAAATACCATATAGGAAAATTAAAGGGGTAAAAATCTCATTTGGGGTCAAAAAGCCTGTAAATTTGGCTGATTGGATATTGTGTTCAGCTGTTAAATTCTTTTATCATTTTATCTTTCTTTTTTAAATTATGTATCAATTTTATCTTCTTTAAAATTATATATTAATATGCCCTGTTTGACCAGTCGTTGACCGATAATTACTCGAGTAAAGGGGCTGGTTACTGGAGTAACTGATCTAGTTACTCGAGTAATTGTCGATTAGAGACTTAGGGCTTTGCTTACGTTTTTTTCCTCTACGATTTTTATTACAACTTCTCACTCTTTTTCATTTTCCTTTCGACCTAACAATTTAACTCTCATCCCATCATCCCAAACCTTTACCTTTATCAAATCATTGTCATTATCCTTAGTTCTTCGATTTTTTGTGCAAAAATCTAAACCATCTCCAAACCCTAATTCGTGGCAAAGATGAGCTTAAGTTCTCAAACATATGTTGCATTGTCTACCACAATGGTAGGCACTTTAAAGGTCTCAATGGTCTAATTTTTTAAGGTAAATGAAAAATAATGCAAATCAAACGCGATACTATATACAACAATCTCAAGAAGAGAAATCAACAAAATTAGGGCTCCAAGGCAATCAATGTGTTTCTCGATTAATAGCTAGCATAAACTAACCTAAAGGAAGAAGACTAATTATGTCAGTTCATGGAATGCCTCTCCATAGCAGGTGACTTAGAGGGACACCTATCAACCATGAGAAATCAACCAATAACAAGGGAAAGATGCAAAAACAAACAAGATTGAGTAAAAAAAATTGAATAAAAAATCAAAAAGCAAAATAAAACAAAGGCTGAAGTTAGGGTTTTAGATTTAGGCATTTCGCCCAAATACCCACTGAAATCAGCCCCAATGTTGAACTAAAATCAGAAATTAATGATGAAGAACACAATTTGGTGATATTCCATACATTTGGAGACGAAAATTCCATTTTGAGTGGGAGAGGAAAGGAGGTGTGATGGTTTTGGAGAAGTAGGATTCAAGTTACAAGGGTTTTAAAATAAAGGAAAAGATATTGTAACAACCAATTAGGGTAACTATCAATGTTATTACCAATCAATTTCATCGTTAGATCGATTATATTGATCCAACGGTTATATTTATTTCCATCTTTTTATGGATATAATTCCTCATATTTAATATGAAAGCATTAAATATGGAAAATCATAACCATATAAATGTGGAAATAAATATAAAATATTAAATATGGAGAATCATAATCATACAAAGATAAAAATAAATATAATCGTTGGATCAACATAATCAATTTAACGATGAAATGAAATTAATTGGTAGTAACATTAATAGTAACATTAATTAGTTGTTACAATATCTTTCCCTTTAAAATAAGAGGAGAGATATTCTAACTACCAAAATTTTTCACTACCAACTTACTACTATCTAATCACCATTAGATTAACATTTTCTCTCTCTTCAAAAACTTTTTAACATTCTCTCTTTGATCCAATGGTAATGTAATGGGTAATAAGTTAGTAGTAAGAATATTTGGTAGTTAGAATATCCTCACTCTTAAAATAAAACCCCTCTTTTCGATACTTATTTCAGAAAGTGGGTCATTTATTAAAGTAAGAGAACCTCGTACTTGAATAACTCATTTACTCAACAGTCAACTGGTCAAACAATGATATATTAATATAGGGAAAAAATGTCTATCATTTTAAAGGAGGTAAAGTTATATCATTTTAAGAGAGAGAAAGAGATAGATAAAGGAGGAGAGAGAGTTGACAAAAAAAATAAAGATGTGGGTCTAACCTCTTGTAAGAGTGAAAGAATATAAGTTGTGTCATTTAAAAAGATAAACATTTTTTCCATTAATATATAGTTTTAAGAGGGGGAGGGGGATTGGTAATTTTAAAAACATAAGGCCACAACGGTATACCAACTCACATACTGCATTTACATTTTTTTTGACTCAGGAGCATCTCATCTTATCATTTAAGTATGGGGTTTGACTTTCTCATATTGCATAAGAATTGAATTTTCATGTTGTGACTCAACTAGTGGTGGACCTCATATTTATTAAAAAAAAAAAACTTTGCACGCAAATCGAAGGATCACAACATGAAAATTGAATTCTCATGCAACATGAGAAAATATTTTCCCTTTTAAGTATAGTTATAGAGTAGTTTTATTAAAATAGAAATATGACTCTTCTCAACGAGGCTAAAAAGGGTTAAAAAATTTTTGACCATAATCCTAAAAATTCTTTCCAATATATATTTATTTTTAATTTAAGTGAATGAAATATAAACCGGAGCACTGAAAATTTATCTTAAGATTCAAACTAATGTCTTACTAACAGCTGGAATAAACAAAATATAAATTTAGATATTAACATATATGAAAGTTTAAAAGTCACTACGATGATCCCGTGACGAGAAGTTTGAGTAGTTTGTAAGTATTAGGTTATCTGTTCAATTCTCATTATTATATTCAAAAAAAAAAATTAAAAGTATAAATTTAAAATTGAAAGATATTTTAAAATTTGTATTATGAAATAAGTTATATCAGTATAAAAATATTATTATATTATACAAAAATATTAGTTTAAGTAAAAAAATTATAATTTATCACAAATTTTGAAAAAATATATATTTTAAAGTATTATGTAATATGATGCAAGGTCAAGTCAATAAAAACTATGATCTAAATCAAACTAAAAATAGGGTTTTAAGTGTTTCATATAATATAAGATAATTTTATCTTCTACGCACACATAAAAATATGTGGGGCTCATGGGGATCATATGAGGAGAAAAAAAGAAAGAAAGAAAGAAAAAAGACTAAACCTATATATTTTTATATATGTGTAAAAAATAAAATATATGAAACTTTAAACCCCTAAAATATTATGAAATTAATTTTTGATACCTGAATTAATCTGGATTTAGCTTTAGGCATAATCAGGTTATCGAGTCAGTCAAGATCTTAAACCACTCTTGTAAAACCTGGCCGGGTCAACCCGGAACCCGACGAACCGATCATCAGACCGATTCGGGTCAAACATTTGACCGATCATGCATCGATCCGATCAAAACCGGTGACCCGATGATCCGGTGATCCGGTCAGGCCATGCATTTAAAAAAAATAAAAAAACCAAAAAATCAAAACTGTTTCATCTTATAAAAAAAATGTAGAACTCATTTTAAAAACTTTTTGTGATTTTATTTGCTAGTATATTCTTCTATAATGACCTCAAATTCTAGTTTCCAATACTGAAGCAATTTGAGGAACAGTAAATTAGAGGATGTGACATATGACATTTTAATGTAGTTAAATTTGAAAAATATGAGTTCAATGTCATTGAGAGGAGGTATGTTTATGGATATTCTGAGTTGCAATTTAAATTAACATAGTAATAACGTGCATTTTTATTTATTTATTCTTCATATTTTTGTGCTTATTTAGTGAACTTTGTTTAATTCATTTTAGATATGAAGAATATAATTGAATTGATATGTTCATATATATATATATATATATATATATATATATATATATATATATATATATATTTAAGTCAACCGATCCGATCAATGATACACCGATCCAACTAATAACCCAGTACCCCGACCGAGTCAATACTTGAGTCGGGTTTAACA